ATAAAGATGTCTTCTGCATCAATGTTTGTCTGAGAAAAAAATTTTTTTAGGAATAAATCATTCCTTGAACTTATCTGTGTAATTATGTCCGTCTTACATCGACATAATAAAAGTAATAATATTTTCGCAATTTAAAAATTTCTTATTGTCTATGAGACCTCTTTCCCCGGCTTTTGACTTTGTTCTCAGTGACTTCACTTGTCTCAGATACACATGTACCTAGAAGAATAATTACCCTCGCCCCTAACTCTGTACATTAAATGTTCATTATTCTGAAAATTCGGGAGGTTCTGAACTCTCTCTCCGGTCCTTTCGAAATCCACGCTTGTGGACGAGGAGTAAATAAAAAATGGACTCTTCGAACATGAAAAAAACCTTTCTGGTTTTAAGGTTAATTATTTTTTCGTTAAGTTAAATGTAGAAAATTACCAGAAAGAGGATGACTGTGTTTTTGAGACAGATTTTTTCCCCCCCAAAAATATATTTTTACGATTATTTTCTTCAAAAGAGATGATTTTAATGGATCGCCCGCCTCCCATGTGAATAAAATGGCAGTGTCCATGTTTTGTTATGGTAAACCCAAAATATGAGTCGGACCAAAAAGTAAAATAAGACACAATGGCACCCCAAAGCGTAACAGACGGACATTCCGATTACTATATACCCTCCCGCTTTTCAGGCGGGGGTATAAATATGTAGAGGTATCATCCCCTGGTGCCCTTTGTATTCAAGATTTACTATCAGAGTACTGCCATTATTACAAGATTTTTTAAAATTTATCTTATATTTATCATTTTCATTTAATTGTGTTTTCTTTTTATCATCCTATGGTTTTCTATACTTTTGATACAGTGTGGTGATGCACTTCTCAATGTTAAACTTAATGACAAGAAATGTTACATTATACACCTATATACAAAATTGTAATCAATGTTATCAGTCATATTGTAATAATTTGTCCATGCCCACCGTGGGCCCTTGATTGGTGAATAAACATATTGTATCATAGTTATATATGTATAGTCGATTTACAATTACTTATACATACAATACAATAATCAAATGTGTGTGAATGCTTTGTCAAAACGTAAGAAATGGTGGTCGAAGAAATGTGTTTTAAGACAATCTCTTCATTTACGAAAAAATTTATTTAGTATATTATTAATCCAATCAACTACGCACCCAAGTAGATGTAACAACCCCCCGCACCCCCCCCCCTCCCCTCTTTATAGTACGTAAAATTAAATAATACAATGTTTGTATTTAAGAGACTGCTTAGAACCAAAATTTTTCATTAGAATTCGCTTACTTGTTTTAAAACTAGTTAAATTACTTAATTTAAACTTTACGCCCCAACTTACGCCTACCCATGAGTAGACGTAGAATTTCGGCCTAAATTTAGTCAGGTGTAACGATACGCTCTTTAATGAAACGCAACTCTTCGTGCTAGTCCTGACTTTACACCGGCGTAGCGCTACGACTGGGCGTACGACTTTTGATGAAACGGGCTCCAGGTATGTATACGCATATGTAGGTACATGTGTAGATCTACAATATGTAGACATGCTTTTGTTAACTTAAAAAACCCGAGTGTGCTCATGTTCATTTCCCATCATATCACAGTCAGTGAAAACTGTAATACAGTGCCTTGTGTGTAACCCCCCCCCCCCCCCAATACATAGTTGCTCACTTTTTAGAATTATTAAAAATTAATTGCACTTAATATGTACTGAGTTCCTGTCAATTAGCTCATTTTTTTTAGACAATATGTGTAAAAATGGAGGTCATCAGTAACAAAAATTTAAACTAAATTAAATGAGATGTTTTCATTTCATTCAGAAGAATTGAAAACATGTATATGCATTCTATGTTAAAATAATGTTTCAATGCATTTTTTTTATTTCTTTTTTTAAAACACAAATTACTTCCAATAATGGTATTTCCTGATTTTTCCTGATGCTCATTTCTCTGTAATCCTTTAGTTAATTTATAATTCGCGATGAAATTAGGAAAATATTCTATTTTTCATACATTACTGTCTGTTTTAGCTGAATAACTTCATTATATCGAAAATCTAACTGAATGAGCATCACTTTTGAGAAAGTATAGATACATAGTGACAACATAAAACATGTTGCAGTTAATTTTTTGTTTGCCTTGCCCTTGCACTTTTTGGTTAAATTTGACATCTCATTTCTTGCCCTTGCACTTTTTGGTTAAATTTGACATCTCATTTCTTGACCTAAAATCGGAGCCCACGTGACTTCAGGGGGTCACATGATGTCAAAAAATACCGATGTGAAAAGCGATGGACATACTCTTCAAGATAAGAAATAGCTATTTTAACTAGTGTCTTTCTCAAAAATAAAACTGTTAAACATTATATGTATCGGATTCCGTGAGTTTTTATAGAAAATGTTGCCTTAACTGTACTGCGTTCTGGAGAAGAAGATTTTTTAAAGAATTTTCCAATATATTTCTATGTAAAACTTTGGTCGGCCATTTTGGCCCCGACCAACCCAATGGGGTCATGATTTGAACAAACTTGAATCTACACTACCTGAACATGCTTCCGTATAAATATGATGAATTATGGCTTAAATTGGTCATTTTTGAGAAGGATATTTTTAAGAATTTTCCTACATATTTCTATGTGAAACTTTGGTCGGCCATTTTGGCCCCGCCCTACCCCCGGGGGTCATGATTTGAACAAACTTGAGTCTACACTACCTGAGGATGTTTCCTCATAAGTTTCATCTTTCCTGGCATAGTGGTTCTTGAGAAGATTTTTAAAATATGCCACCAAATTTTCATTAATTCCCAATTATATTCCTTTGAATGAGGGCCTGGCCCTTCATTTGAACAAACTTGAATCCCCTTCACCCAAGGATACTTTGTGGCAAGTTTGGTTGAATTTGGCCCAGCGGTTCTTGAGAATAAGTCGAAAATGTGAAAAGTTTACAGACAGACGGACGCCGGACAAATTGTGATCAGAAAAGCTCACTTGAGCTTTCAGCTCAGGTGAGCCAAAAATGACATTTTTCCTAATATTCAGATACATATCTATATTTAGCCACCTGATACTAAAAATAGAAATGGGAATTCCCCTCAACCGTTGTCCATACCTGCTAGTGGTGTCCAGCTCTTGTCATTAATATTTTAAATTTTACAACATACGTTCTAATTATGCAGTAATGACATTTAAAACTTTGCCAAAATTTGATTTCTCACATTTTTCTAAAATATGTCTAATTATAGATACATGTAACTAAAAATAGGAGCAAAAGCCCACTTATGTTTTTTTTCATGAGATGACACTACTTATTCCTAAGTATAATATAAAATTTGAGAAATTTCCGCGGACAATTTTTTCTTATTTAGCCTCAAAGATCTAAAAAAAATTCCAATTTTCCCATTTTTCAAATTTTTAGAAACCATTTCAATTTGCATGACCTTTTTCTTATAGGAAGAATATTTCTAGAATAAACGATTATATGCTCTCTGTACCTTAAAAGGTCATGTTATCAAATGAACCAATGATTTTTGTTAGAGTGCATTAGATACCGATAAATACTTATTTACATTTCCTCAATTTTCATGTTTTCATTTAGTCAAAATGGGCCAAAAATGGCCGAATTCAATGGATCCGTCTCCATGGCAACCAAGTGCACGTGTGGAACTTCCGACACCATATTTACTAGTTTTGTACCAAGACACACCTATGGTGAAAATTTCATCAAAATTCGAGACATGTCGTTTCCGATTTTTTGGTGCTTACAGAGATTGCATGTTAAGAATATCAATCAGGAAATAGATGAAATATTCCTTTTTCTTTCTCCTTTAATCTCTCTGTTCTCTCTTGTCAATCCATTTTTACCCATCTCATCGTAAATATTTCTTTCAAAATAAATGTTTTCGAACTTAGATACGATTGAATACCAAAGAATCTAATTGGGAAATAATTTTTTTCTTGACATTTAGATTGAAACGCAACCTGATACAGATGAAAATCAACAGTCAATGCAGTGTAAAACAGAGAAAAGGAAACAGGCAGCTAACAAGCACCGGTCCGCCGGAATATGCTGTGCGGTGTACAACTGTGGGGTAGTTGTGGGCTAGTTAGAATGATCTAACTGTGTCTCGGTACAAGCCCTCACCACAGTTAGAAAACGCCCCATATACATGCAATGTAGCAAATCGGAGCGGATCTGCTCCGAAACGATTTTTAAGAATATAAAAGGATTTGCACTGGAAATAACTACCAAATAAATCAAAACAAACCTTTTTGAGATTGCTTATATCATTTATCCCAGAAAATAATCCATCTAAAGACGAAAATTCAGTTAACTTTCTCAACGTTTTTCTCTCGCTTTAAATTTACCTGCCATGTTTACATTCGGAATTCTCTAGATTGTTCGTAGTAAAAGCACTGAATATAGTGAGTACGAGTTATCGCCCATGTTTCTTTTGCTACATTACGAATACATGGAACGAATTCTATCATTAAACCGGGTCCATAGAACAAAATCATTTTAACGATAGACTGTTCTATCTAGTTGTGGGCAGAACCGAGCTATTTGGTTGCAAATCACGTACAGATTGTACAAAAGATTTAACAAAAAAATTGTACAAACGATTTATTAAATTGTAAAAACGATTTATTAAATTGTACAAACGATTTATTAAATTTTACAAACAATTTATTCAATCGTACAAACATTTTCTTAAATCGTTCAAACGATTTAAAAAAAAATTCTACATTGTTAAAATGGCACGAATACGCCGTCGTAAATTTGCACGAATACGCCGTCGTATTAATGCCAAAATTTCACAATCACTTTTAAGTACGGCTCCGTGTAAAAATCATGCAGACAGTACAGAAAAGGTGATTCATCGATCATCTTCAAATTCAATAAAATTAGGTTTAATATATTCATTTGGGTCTAAAATAAATATAAACAGTTGATTTTGTTATAATTCTTCTTTTTTCATATAGCCAGGGATAAAGTACTTGAGGTGTAATTTTGTATAGATAGTGTGCAAATAATGCCTATTTCAGAAAAGAATATCTTTTAAACCCTAGAAGATGTACAAAAACTTAATACATAATTCAAGTGAACATGGAAGGCTTAATAAAAATTTACTTTAATATTTTTGTGCAAACGAAGTATTGAAAAGATACAAGGTATTTAAAATCTAGAATTTGTCAAGATTCTTCAAATGAGTTATCTCCCTTTGCAATTTTACATAGGTGGCGCTAGTAAAAAAAATGGCAGCTTCCATGGTTAGCTGTACGCTGCAAAGTTATTTTGATGCATCCTGTGATGTTTATTGCAAAAATATGTGTGAATTGACATAAATTGGTTGAAAGGATTCTACAAGAACAGATTAGGCATAGTTTTCGGGCAAAAATATAGCTATATCTCGTGTTGATTAGTATATTGACCTTGTTGACGTTCTATCGAAATGGTACTCGCCTACTGACACCGTTGTGATCTATCTCAGAAGTTTCAATTCTACGGTAATCCACCAGAGTCCAAGAGTAAACTCTCAGAGAGGGATGGCAGTCCGATTTTGTCTGCTTACTCGACTTGGAGAGGGAAGATAATTTACATTTGGACAGTTACATTTGACCAGGTAAGATCAGGTCCAGAACACTGCAGAACAATTGAATTTCTTAATTAAGATAATTAATTTTGTAGCCTGAAATAGCTATGTAGCTTTAATATGTTGACGGTGCGACCAATAGGGTGAAAGCATATACTTATTTAGATTAGACATGTAAATCCGCATGTGACATTCGGTGCATATATTATAGACCCTTTTCCTGTGACATATTTTGCCTAAGAGTTATTCCCCTTCGCTGCCATCTTGTAGGGCAAAGTAGTGAATTTACCTCTTTGAGCAACCAATTTTAAACATGCATTCAAGAAATATATGAGGAAAAATATTCACAATCTTATAATTATGAATCAATAGATGCTATAACAAATGTATAATATTCATAAGAAAAATAGCATTATCTTTACCTCAGTTACCAGTATAACAAATTGAACTTGGTTGAATAATGAAGGAATCTTGGAATTTTGCCCTACAATATGGCGGCTAAGGGGAATAACTCCTAGACAAAATATGTCATAGGAAAAGGGTCTGTTAGATTCTGACGTCATATGACGTCATTTGTATGTTGCTTTAGCAAACCGAAGCCTGAACAAGGCTGATTTCAATCAGTTTATGACTATCTTTCTGAAATAAACAAATAAATTCATAAAATCAAGACAAGTTTATTATTTGTTTAACTTTTGTTGTTATTCTCGCGAGAATGTTGCTTTAGAGTTTGTGTATGAAGAGATGCATTGTGGGTCTAAATTACTGCGGTAAAAAATTCTTTGGAATGAATGTGCAGTAGGCCTAGTCTGAATTTTCTCTTTGCCCAGGCATTGTCATCAGAACTCGCAGTTACGTGCATCGTTTTGCGACCCTTGCTGTACTCGCTATTAATCTATTCAAAATAGCTTGGTAAAGCTTTTTATTTAAGAGATAAGGTATCATTTTTTGAGTTTTATTGGGATGTAAAACGGGTTGGTCACCTGATCAAATCTCATTACATCCTCAACTCAAAAAATGATACCTTATTACTTACATTTACATTTGTGACTTATTCATACTTTAAATTTGCCTTATTGTGACTTTTAACGTGTGAAATGCATTATTTTTCAAACCCAACGGCATATATGTAATCCACTGAACCCGCGTCAACCCTTTATGATGTCACTGAGAAATTACATCGAACTTTTATCCATACGAACATCTATGACCTCTTGACCCCATACCTGTATTTATACAGTTATAAAAACACTTGCTTTCAGTAGTGTTATATAAAGGAAAACATTTGCAAATGTAAATATATGCAGTCAAAAGTATTTTACAAGTCCTATATGACAATGTATTCTGAGTCTGAATAAAAGGAAAAATCATAGATACTTGTAGTATTGCAGCTGTTGAATACTTTTAATTAAGCAAAAGATGAATTTCCATTTTCTCAAGAGCTCGGGTACACTACCGTTAATGAAAGGCAATTGTCAGCACAATGTATTTGTCTCTACTCTAGCATTCTTCAATTAATTGAATGAGTCCCCAAGCATGACAGTCTACTATTTGTTAATACAAATCAGAAGCGACACACGGTTTTCGTTGATTTTCTGCATACTTTATTTACTTCATCACCAAAAACAATAGAGCTTCTTTTGTACTTTATACAGCCAAAATTGAAAGATTAGTTTACATTTAAAATTGTAGTTTTAGATGATAAATACAGTGAACCTTCAGATATCTGGACGCCAGTTATCCGAATGCTTCAGTATTCAGACCATTTTTCACCTGAACGAAATTTTTAATGTTATTTTGTCTTGTTTAACTGGTAATTCAGGTATCTTGACACTTCACAAAACTGGACAATTTGACTAGGAACCAGAGCGTCCGGATAAATAAGGTACCACTGTAGTTGCTTCCAATACGTACTGTACAAACCTTGTGACGTTTGCATGTCTTTATACTTTTGATATTTGATTGAGGGGTTAAATGATAATTGTGCACCTTGTGCTGCTGTTTAAACTATGTAAAGAAAACTGATAGCCAATTTACATGCAAATTTAAGCTGATGTGTCATCAGATAATCTTGTCGTCTAGACCTGTTTAAGTTACTGTGCACTCCCCTATGTGCGATGAGGCATGAATAAGTATGATGGTATGGTTAAGGCAGTGTTTGAAATAACTGTTTCTCAACCGCCTGAGATGCACAAATTTTGTCACAGGCAAACAGATTTGTAACAGATTACAGATTACAGATTTGACACCCGACTGAAAATGAAAAACTTTTCAAAAACTTGACCATTTTATTTTCACAGAATGTATGCAATGGGCTGCATCATGGTTTTGAAGGAAAAGGTTACACTATTTATTACAGACAGCAAGAAAACATCATTGAACACCACCAACTAATAAGACTCCAAAGGTTGGAGAATATATGTCATGCAACCATTTATAGATTTTTAATGAAAATACTGCATTATATAAACTTGATATTCCATGTAAAGTAATCTATAAAATCAAAATAACCATTTAGTACCTTAATAATAATGTAGCATAAACTAAAGAATTCTAAATTGATGAATGATAAGTACATGTACATGTATATTGTAATTATTATTCTAGGAATAATGGAAAATAAGATATTTAAAGCTGTCAAAAAGCAGAGATTAGACTTCGGTGGATTCCATGACGGTACTTTGGATAATGTTAATCAGACAGCAATTCTTTTCCCAAGGATCTTAAGTGCTTTTAGAAGAGGCTAATAAACAAAGGACAGTCACTTACTACAGAAGAGAAGCAGGGGAGATTAGTGTTATTCTGAGTGGCAATACTGCACCTTACAAAGATGTAAAACTTTAAAAATTGTGTTTACATATACAATGATTATATGATAAGTGTATCTAGTAATCAATATAAAGGCCAAAGAAAATTAATTTCATGGTTCTCAGGCCCTCCCTCATCTCTTCCAAGGGCGCCTCATTGACAAATCACCTCCCTTATCATTTTTTGAGGTTTTGTACAATATAAAAAGCTGCCTCATCATGTTTTGGGGGCAATAAAAAGTAAAAAAAAAAACTGCCTCCCTCCCTCATCATATTTCTTGAAAACAGGCCTGAGAACTAAGGAATTAATTTTGCATGGCCTAATATGATTAATATTTTCAAATGTTTTTTTTTTTTTTTACATTTTACTGTTCATTAATGAAAAAAATAGTTTGTGTGTATTTGAATTTGGAAATGTAAAGGAATCTATTTTAAACTGTAAACTGATATTCTTACATGTAAACATGTACTGGCATGTGTACCTGGTGTATATATTGGACTCTGACAAAAGATGATGCTACTTCTTTTTTTGGTGAAATTATTAATCACAATGATTTTTTGTGCGCATGATTTTTAAAAATTTTCCATAGGGTATGGTATCTTTGAAACCTACTCAGCCTTTTTGTTTGGCTATTTTTTAAATCATAGATATATTTTATTTTCTTGATAACTGAAATCCTCAAAAAATGATATTTTGTTGTTTTTTGTCAACATGATTCATCTCCCCCTTTCAGCTTGAAATTAGAAATAATATTGTAGATATAGATATAATTTGATTAATGAAAATGAATAATTGTGTTGTGTTTGGATTTAGAACTATAAAGAAATTGTTTTGAAATGCTATTTATAATTTAACATGCATATAAAATATATACATGACATTTATTTGACCGTGATGAAAAAGTGAATTTCCCATTTTTTGTATAAAACTCTTCAATGGCTTTTGGAAATTAATAAGCAATTGCACAAAAATGTTTTTAATATTTTATTTGCCATAAGGTATGGTGTCTAGGAAATAAACACTGCCTTTCTGTTTGGCTGTAGTCTATTTTTTCTTTAATTTTTTTTATCATATAGCAGAATTTAGCTGTAAATCCTTTAAAAATTGAAAATTTCAGTTTTTCTCGACATGGATTATCTCCCCTTTTCAGCTTAAAATTAAAAACAATTATTTGATGTGGTAATATTTGGATTTATTATGAAAAGTAAATAATTTTAATGTATTTGAAAATGGAAATATTAAAAAAATAGTTTTGAAATGCTATTAATTTTTTACATGCAAACATATATGGCATATATTGGACTGTGACCAAAAAAGTGAAATTACCATTTTTGTACAAAATTAATCGGCTGTTTTGGGAAATTAATAATCATTTGCACAAAAATGTTTTATTAATTTTATTAACTTTAGACTATAGTCTCTTTGAAACTAGCAGGGTTTTTTAGTTTGGCTGTGGGGTTTTTAGAAATTTTTGATAGATAAAAATCATAAAAAATGGATATTTTACATTTTTTGCCAATATGGATTATCTCCCCTTTTTAGCTTAAAATGAGAACACTTTACTGGTCATAAAAATATTTTGACTAGATATGGATAGTAACTACTTATGCTGTATATTAATAAGAAATAAACATAAATTTGTTTTATTGTTTAGTTTTCTTTTCATTTAATCTTCTTAATTGGTATTTTTGCCTGTTTTTAGAGGAAATTTCTGCCATTTTTTGCCCAAAACAGTTTATCGGTTGCCATGGATACCAATGGCAGAATTGAAAAAAAAATATAATTTTTTTTGGAGTATCTTAGCATACTCTACCAACATGCAAAGTTTGAAGAAATTCTGAAACCCCCCATGAATCACCCTCTGCATGATTTTTACACGGAGCCGTACTTAAAAACGTATTCTACACAGTATCTACATGTAATTTCGATCTAAACGAAACGGAAAATTTGCAATAACGGAAAACATCCACTCTCCTCGTGCAAAAGTCGTTCAAGTCTATTTTATGTATTTTTATTTTGAATATCATCGTCAATCGCTGACGGTAGCCACAAATCTCTTTCACTTCATTTTTAATGTCGCAATTCAATTTATAGAAAATATAAATCTGTGACATCAAAGTCCATCGAAGAGTTTCTGTATATCCTGTTTTTGTAAATCTAGGTAAACCGGGATTTTAAGAGGGCTCAAATATATTATGATCAATCTCAAACTACAACAAACCACAACAATTACAGGTTAAATCCTCAACCTTATCCAAGACTGACTAACACTCATTACGTCTACCCCATTAAATTGTCAAAACTAATCTGACCGAATCTTACATATTCCATGGAAGTATATATACTGCGGATGGGTACTTCTCAACGGGGCCTCATCTACAGAACTCTAGCACAAGTTTGGATGCTACACAGTTAAAAAGTGGGCTGAACTATTTTTCTTTGATTGATTGTGTCACAAATCATTTAGAGAACTCGACAGATTCTGTATCGTAGATACAAATTTAGGAGTGGAGACTGTGCTACATGTACGCACTTCTCGTCCACCCCAAATTTGTATCTACGCGCAGCACTGTTAAGGCCTACTATGAGAAATCAGCGGAAATTGGATCTTTTAAAAAGTGAATTTATTTAAATTAAGCTGTTTTATTATCACAGAGCTTTAATACTTATGGAAATAGCATAGTATTACCCACTCTGTACTGTATGAAATTTAGTCCCATCGATGGATAATCACGTGATAAATGCATAGTTCGTGTACTGAATGTAGGTCATTAACAAATTTCAATATCGCAAGGGCATACCCTAGTTGAAATTAAAAATTCAAGCTATTAATTGGTTCTGCATACTTTGTAGTTTCTGAAAAGTGCTGCTGCTTTGAATAGAGTTCGCTTTTTAATAGTAAAATTTTCACATAAATAGGCCAATGTCTAAATATATTTGACTTCTAACAAATATTTTGTGTACTTATAAAATCACGCCCTCGTTTTGAAGAAAGCAGCAGCACTTTTCAAGTTAAGGAAAATACCCTTTATCCATATTCAAAAAATGGTTCAGATCTATGCAGTGTATGCCCTTGCGAAAGTACGATTTTATGAGGTGTAAAATATACGTAGCCTGTAAATAAAAACACGACATAATGAATAAAATACATTCTCTTGATAGTTAATTAATAATCGCACTAAACAAGGGACATACATTTGTATAAATCGACTATTTAAAACCTGAAAATAATATTCCGTTTAATAATAAAACGCATTTTTCATTGTTAAAAAATTCCATAATCTGCCTCTCACAGCACATGAAATATGTCATTTTTACCAATATGACAATATGATGTCATGTATACAAGTTTATCGCGATCAGTGCTTTTTTTATAACCAGCTACAAGGGATTTAACTAGCAACTTTTTTAATGCATTGATACGTTATATTTGTATCTATTATGCTAATACAGTTAAAAGTTGCAAATTATTTCATTTTCAGGTATTATTAGAAATCCATTAAAGTCATATTTTTGTGTGACGTCACAGTAAACTTTTCCCGTATAAATTAGGCCCCGCCCCCTTTGTCAAGCCTTAACAATGCTGCGCGATTCAGAACGCGTCTTGTTCTTCAAATACATGTAAAACATATTTACTCGGAAAGGTTCTATGAATCTGTCAAGTAGTAGATTTTTATTTTCTGTTACAATTATGTTTAAAGATATTTAAAGTTCTTAACATGTCTTCAGTACGTACTGTTAATGTTCGAAATATTTTTAGAAATAAAACTTGGAATTAACTAAAATCATTAATCAAATAAAAAAAACTTATTTGTTTCTTTATTTATTTTGGATTATTGTTCTATATCCCAAATTTGTTCTGTTTTTAAGGCACACATCAAGCACTTGACCTCACTTTGCCTTGCCGATGACCAAATAAATGGTTGATTACAGTATCTGAAGATTTTTTAAGGAGTTGAATGTCATACAGACCTCTGCCTATGGCTGCTAAATCAAAGCTTTACAGTTTTATGTGAAGAATTTAAAAAATATACAGGAGTATGTAAAGAAATGTTGTAACTGTAAATGGAAGTAACTGTTCTCTATTTTCATCTAGATTAAAAAATGTTTCCATAAATATACACTAAGTAGTCAAAAAAGTTGCAAATGTAAACTGTACATCGAAAAGTTTAAGGCCATGTGATTGAAATCATTTTGATTCTAAAATTGTGAAAAGTATGCGTCCATTGTATATAAAATTAAGGCAGTCATTTAAAAAAGTTATCTAAGGAATAACTGTCAAGTTAGTAGAGTATACCAGGGCATCAACGATAGTTGAAATTGTGTTATAATTTGCATAACGAGTGAAGCTAACTAACTAGACAGTGTTTCCTTATATTTCCCTTTCATTGTGAAATAAAATTGTAAATTTAGATTTTAACAAGAGGCCCATGGGCCTTATAGGTCACCTGAGCATTATGCAACAACTTTCCAGTGATTGAATTTGATTCGTGTTTTAAGCCAGATGCTATGGCATTCCCAATTTTGAAAGAGGCATTATTGATCATCATAACTACATACTTAGCAGTTGCTTAGTTTGGTTACTTAATACCCATAGGCAAGGCCAAGCTTAAAAAATTCTTTGTTTGCAGTTGCCGACCCCTAATTTTTATTCTTGGAAGATAGGTAGGCTTTTTTTTTTTTTTTGAAAAAAAAAATTGTTTCCAGATTTTTGTTAGATAAGATAAAATAGAGGTTTTCATAGGCCTACTATACATGAATAAGGTGCACTCTTGGTATAAACTAATGATTGATGAAGACAAAAATTGAAAATGAAACAGTTTAAATATCCTGAAAAATTGGAGAAAAAAAATTACAAAATGGCTAAAAAAAAGTTTTTGGTCGGGTGCATTTTCAGTGGGTCTGTCGGCAACTGCAAACAAACAA